GGGCTGCAGCTCCCCTCTTCTGTAGCGGAAACCCTGCCTGCCCTGAGCTCCGGGCTCTCAACTTCGGCTGCCGCGTCGGTGCGTGTTGGGAGCCCAGGCTCGAGCTTGCGATAAAGACCCTCGTGTGCTTCGCATGGGGATCGGCTCCTTGGTGGTCTCTGGGAAACTCGAGGTCTGGGCACAGCGGGACCCGAGTGCTTGCAGCCCAGAAGCACCCTTCCAGACAGCAAACCGTCCCCGGGGCGCACAGAGAACAGAGAGCTGGAGGGAGAGCCTGGCCACCCGCAGGGCAGAGGCCCTGCCTTGGGGGGCCTGGGCGGAGCGGCCTTGAGCCAGGTGTGAGGAGGCTGCCTGGACCCGTCTGGAGCCAGAGCAGGCGGGGAGGTCAGCCTTGTAGCGGCTCTTGCTCGGGGGATGTAGCCAGTGCAGCCGGGCCCCTCCCTGCCCCCAAGGCTCGGCCGATTCCCTCCGCCTGACCTGACCGGAGACCCCAGACAGCGTTGCAGGTCCGGCTGAGCCCTGCAGCCCCTGCCTCGGGTGAGCGGCAGGAGCTCCAGGAGTCTGCCTGGGCGAGCAGCCCCGGGCCAGCATCTGTGGCAGGTGGAAGGCGGGGGCTGCCTCCCAGCTTGACCCTTGCGAGCACCACTCGAGCGAGCAGGGGACGAGCCTCTCAGCTTAGGCCACGGCGGCCAGTGCCGACGGGGAATGAAGCCAGATGATCCCCAACAAGCGGCCGGTGGGGTCACGGGCAAGGGCAGTGCCCGTGCCTGCTCAGCCGCGCCCCCACGCCCCTCCGCGCCGGGCCGGCTGCAGCTGATCTGCTTGACCACGGGAACTGGACGTCTGGTATTTGCGTAGCTGCCTGGTAAGAGATGATACTAGCGCAGAGCATGGTGTGGGCCGGAGAAACGGGGCCGGCGCTGCAGAAGCAGACGCACAGGCGTGCCGCTGAGGGAGGCTCAAGTGTCCACAGCGTGACCGCAGTCACCGGTGCCACGGTGTGCAGTGAGGGAGCAGAGGGAACCCACGTCTGCGACACGTGGCCCCTGGCGCGGGGTGGGGGCCGGGTGGAGGGTGCTTCCTGGGCCCGGCCGCCCCGGACACCAGAGCGACTCACCGTGAAAGCAGCTGAGGCTGGATGTGGGCCTCGAACGCCCTCCGCTGGAGTCCAGGGAGAGGCCAGGGCAGCTCGGGACCCCGCCGGCCCAGGGTGCCACCATTCACCGCCTCAGGGGATGCTGGACTCACCTCTGCCATCCTTTGGAATGACTTTGGAAATCAGGATGTGCAGAAGGCCCAGCCTCCCCTCACGCTGCTATTGTTTGCTTTTACTGACAGAAAGGTTTTATTGCCTGAAATGTAAAATCTCTGTTGAGCCGAGGACCCTGTAAACAAGTTCAGAGACGAGGCGGTAGAAGGAAACAGTGGCAGCGTGGTCTCTCTGAGGCCCCGCGTGCTGGCGGTCGCTGTGTGGAAAGGAGACGGCACAGAGGGCCGGCCGAGGCCACTAACGGAACTGGCCGGGGCTGTGGGGCCGGGCTGGGCGGGAGCTGGGGTGGCTGGGGCCGCCGGCTGGTTGGAGTCCTCGAGGCTGGGCCTGGGGAGCGCAGGCTCTGGAAGCAGCAGGGAAACTGAGGCTGAGCCACCAGGGCCACCAGGCTGGGGGAGGACTGGGCATGGTGCCGGGGTGGTGGGCAGGGGCTGCCTGAGGGGTGCCGGTCTGTGCTGCGGCTGTGGTGAGGGTGGGTGGCAAGGAAGGGGTCACTGTCCAGTGGACGGGGCACAGGACAGCTGTCTCAGAGGACTTCGGGTGTGTGTGCACGCGGGGGTGATTCCACGCTAGCTAGCTGCTGGCGTCCATCGAGTGTGCCAAGCCTCATTCTGAGTCCCTCAGGAAACCTAGCTACTACCCCACCCTGCAGGCCAGGATGCAGGCTCAGACACAGAGCGACCTGCCCGGGCGGCGGGAGCCACCCTCAGCAGTACCCCAAAACCCCGGACCTCTGTCTTTACCTCCGGGGCCTGTGTCTGAGTAACAGCGTGCAGAGGAAGCGACATCACGCTCCTCCACGCCAGGGCGTGTTGGCCTGAGGCTCCGCCTATGCCCTGGCTTGTGGCCGACTGGGCCCCGGGGCCCAGCTCTGCCCTCCTGTGATGGACAGGCGGCCTGGGGACTCCGGGAGGCGCAGAATGGCCCCCCTGGAGACAGCTGGGCAGTGACTCAGGGCATGGATGCTCAGTCCCGCCGCGGCCCAAGCCTCCAGCTGGCAGCTTGTGGGGAGACCAGCCAAGACCTGTCCGAGCTCCGGCCCCTCGGGACAGCTGTGGCTCCTGAACGTTCTCTCACAATGCTCAGGCCTGGGCGTCTGCCCCCCCAGGTGATGGAGAATGCTCTCAGCTGGAAGGCTCTGCTCCCCACTTGCCACCTCCAAATGAGCGGCCTTTGCAGGGAGAGCACTGGGGGCCAGGGCGGGCTGAAAAACAGGCCTCTGGGGCCAGCGCTGGGGGAAGAGCTGCGGGGTTTAGGTGCTGGGTAAACACAGTTGGGGGGACACGGCTGGGCCCCAGGGCGAGGCCGGGGCTGAGCCGCCGGGCAGGCTGGCAGGGAAGGAAACCTGGGCGCACGGCATGTTTCTGGGACAGGGCTGCCAGGTCCCCGGGACGCGGGGGGCCGTCCGGCGTGGCGGCCACGCTCGTTTCGACAGCTCAGGCTGTTCCCTCGCTAGCTTTGGGGTCTCATAAAGTTAAACGCAGGTTGGCAAAGGTGCCAGATGCAGGTTTTAAAACCACAGAAAGGACTTTAAAGTCAGAGACCAGAGCGGCCCTTTCCACTGCTCTGTTCCAACCGTCCCGTTAGCGAGCGGCCAGCAGAGCGCGGCCAGCGCCGGACCAGGGCCAGCATGGGAAGGAGATGGCATCTCAGTGCTTCTTTCGGTTACTCTCCGCGGCTGGCCCCACCCCGCTGCTGTCTTTTCCCAGCCCTGGTCATCTGTGTGGACCCTGTGAGCCCTCGCTGTGTCTGGAAGAATCCCCAGCGGGCAGTGAAGCCAGCGGAGGTCAGTGACCAATGACCACCACCTGGAGGGACAGCTGGAGGGTGGTGTGTGGGTTCGCAACTGGGCAACACCCTAATGGGTAAGTGAGACTGGGTAGTCTGGGACCCCCCAGATCACTGCGGCCCAGGCGTCCCCAGGACACTGGTCTGCTCCCTGGGCCCTGGGGCCTTGCAGCTCTGGCCTCCCTGACCCACCCAGCTGCCTGTCCTGTTCCCTGGGCACCTTGTCCCGAGAAGTGGAGGCACGTGGCTGACCTGGGCCACTCGGAGCACCCAGCAACTCTGGAAGAGGATGGTGGCGCCCATGGGCGCAGGGGCTTTCACACCCGCTTGGAGATGAGGACACTCCTGAGTGCCAGTGGGGAGCCCGTGTGGTAGGGGGCGGAGGTGAGCCCCCGAACCCCAGCCGGTGAAGGCAGGACGTAGCAGCCGAGGCCTGGGCGAGCCGCATTCTCTGGCCCACGGAGGCCAAGTGTGGACCCTGGACACTGCCCAGCCACACCCAGTGAGGTAACACCCCCAGTGAGGTGACCTTTGCCCTCCCAGAAACGTGTGTAGACCAGCCAAAACACGAGATTTGCCAAAGGTCCAGAGGCTCCTACCTCCCTGGAGAGCCTCTGGCATGAGGGCCGACCAGAGGCACACCGAGGTGACCGCAGGGCGCCGGCAACTGCCAGGGCGACGGCGGGCCGGAGAGGCAGTGGAGCCACACCGCGGAGGGGCGGGTGACACGCCCTGGACGCCCAAGCCCTGGACACGTGGCTGTGCTGGTTTCTCTGTCAGATCGGCCCCTGCCCCGTGAGGGGAGCCCTGGGCGCGGGGCCCCTGAGGCTGCAGCCCTGCAGCTCCCACCTGGCCGCCTGCCTCTTCCCGGATCCACCCTCCAGGGCCCCCAGGGCGCCTCGGCCTCCCTCGCCCAGCGCTTCAGCACACCGCTGCCCACCCTCCGCCTGGACATTCGCTGGTGTCCTGACGTGGCTGGTTTCTGGGCCTCTCAGGTCCCTGCTGAAGGTCACCTTGTAGCTCCGGCAGGGCCCTCTCGCTGGGCCAGCTGCTCTCCGGCTCTGTGGCTGGGCCTCGGGCCCTGGAAGGCACCCCCAGGGGCAAGCCCCTCCCTTCACTCCCCACTGGCTCCCTGGTGCTGGAGAACCCCCCTACCCCCACCCCAGAGCGCCTCAGAAGTGTGTGATGAGTCAGTAACACAGGCTGCGATCTAAGAGGCCGAAATGAAGGTCAAGGTGAAGGGGACAGACAGGGTGGCCCCAGAGTGGCCCACCCGCAGGGAGGGGCAGTTGCAGGCAGAGGGAACCCAGATGCTTTCGCCTTTGACAGCAACCCAGCGCCTGCTCTCAAGGTCCTTCTTGCTTAAACTCTGCCTCCCCCAGCCCCTTCACTTCTGCGTGCAGAAATGAGCATGTGGCCAATGACCGAGGCGCGGGTGCAGGGTGGCCAGGAGGGGCTGAGAAAGCCCATCTGCTCTGAGCTCAGGGCCCAGCAGGATGAGGCCCCCTGGCGGGTGTAGCCCAGGCCCCGAGGCCACGTGGCGTGGCCTTGCGCTGGGCGGGTGTTTTGGCCACGGCGAGACTGTTCTGGCATCTCCAAGACCCGGAAAGGTGTTGTGTGAGCTTCGGCCAAAGGACACTTCCTCTCGGCGTGTCGAAGTCACGGCGCACCCCCATGTGAAGAGCAGGCCGGGGCCCCGGTGTCGGCGGGCGGCCCTCCTGCCCCACAGCCAGCCCCAGAGAGGCCTGGGCCCAGGCTCCCGTCCGGTCCGCCGACCACTTCAGCCTCCCCGGGGACAGCGGCGCCACTCCGAGGGTCGGGGCCCCGGTCCTGGCCGTGCGGTCTCCTCGCGGGGCGGCCAGGCAGGGCCGCGCTCAGAGAGTGGCTGTGCTCCGCAGGTTTACGCAAAGCAGGACAGGTGGGAAGGACAGCCTTTATTCGGTGGCCCCCCGCGTGGCCTCGGGGAACAGAGAAAGAGGCGCTTGCTTCCTTTTTGTTTAAGCAAACAGGCTTTCCAAATCAAAAAGCACTTCATTTTATCAAACATCTCACGGAACACAAACTACGCCCCTCCCCCAAAAAATTCCAGATGACTTTCAAGTCCCCACGTGAATCCGTCTACTGCCTAGGCACGTTGGTGAGCTGACTACTCTCAAGCAGTCCGTAATGAGGAGGAAAGTTCCTGAAAGAGAGAAAATGACATGGATTTGTACACAGAAGACACTAAACATCTGTGTGCTCCGTGTGGGGTGGCAGGACTTAGGCAGAGGGGAGCGGACGAGCGGGCTGGACAGGAATAGCCATTTATGGAAACAAGACAAGCGGAACTGTCGAAATCCAAGAGTGTAGGTATTTCCATCCGGCCGGGAAGGCGAATGACGCATCGGTGCCCGGGGACCTCGGGGACCTCGTGCCCGAGACCTGGGCCGACCACAGCATGCGCCCACAGACACCCACTTTGCCACGGGCGGAGACACAGCTTCGGGAAATACCCCAAACTGATTTATTGGCCAGGATCAAAGACTCTGCTTTGAAGAGCTACCTACATACGATCACGGCATTCCAAACCCAAGCCGCGACGGCAGGGACAAACACGAGCAAGCCCTGGGGCCAGTGGGCCCTCCCTGTGCGGGCTGCGCAGGGCCGAGGTTGCCCAGGCAGAGCAGTCGGCGGGCTCCCCAGGCCCGGCGGCCCCTTGGCTCTGGCCCCGCCGCCCTCCCTCCCTCCCTCCCTCCCTCCCTCCCTCCTCGCTGCACTCCGGTCCCCTCCACCCCACACCCGCCCGCTGCTCCGCCCTGCACATGGCTTCCCGCCCCTGCATTTGTCCTTCCTGTCTGTCTGTCTGTCTGTAGGCTGCAAGACATTTCCACTTGGCTTTCAACACCCCATGGAGGGCGCTCTCCCGTGGTCGCCACACCTCCTCGGTGCCAGTTCGCCTCTCCAGGCACCATCTCCCTGCATCCGCCTACTTATCTGTCCACCAGTGTGTGAAGGGACAGGCCAGAGAAGGGGCAGGCCCAGGGGGGTGACGAGCGTGGGGAAGGGCGCCCCTTTTAGGTGTCTCCCTGTGGACACGGCCTGGGCCAGCAGTCACCGTGTGGCCTCACTCCAGGGGCGGGGATCGGCCACCCCAGCCAGCTCCCAGCTGCACATTCACGATCACCTAAGCCCACTCTGAGCAGCCAGTTCTCCGTGTGATCACGGCCCCTAGGCGTTGTCTGCAGTGGTGAATACCTGAAGCACTCAGTTTCCGCAGAAAAGCCTGTCCAGACACACCTACACCTCTATGGGCTATACAAAATGCACTCCCCAGTAAAGCCACTTTAAGTGTATTCTGCAGGTGCGTGGAAAAGTGTGGTGGAGCAGAGACCTGGGGCCACATTTTCCAGGGCTGCCTTCGGCGGGGAAAAGACTGGGAGCAACCGCGTGTCCGTCAGTGGTTGTTCAAATCATGGTTCATTGGCAGGAATATTACCTGGTCGGTAAAAAGCAAAAGGATAGCTTTGCAGTATAAAGTGGCCCACAGGGAAACGAGGGGGTGGAAGGCTGTGTATTTTACATGTAAAAGTAGTAACTGGGAAAAAATGTCTTCCCTTCAGCACAGGTTATCTCAGAAAAAATGCACAAAACTGTTCAAACAGCTGTTTCGGTTCCTAGAGCCGGCGGGAGGTGTGGCCTTCCAGAAAGACAGGAGGCGGTGAGCCAGCAGGAAGCCAGTGGCCCCCGAACTTCTCGACTCCAGGGAGGCCGAGCAGCACACAGTGCTCCTCACAGGACGGCAGGGCCTGGGCTCCGGGCCTGGGGCGCGTGTTTGTGGCAGGCCTGTGACACGCCGAGGCACTGAGCCACGGGGCTGCAGGCCCCGCCCAGGGACGAGCACTGTGCTCCCCCACTCCCGAGTGTTGTCCAGCTGCACGCCTGGGTCTGTGGTCCCTGCTCTGAGGCGTTTGCATTTGGGTGTGGGAAGGGGAAGGGGTGGCCCAGCACAGGACATCACGTGACAGAGGCCTGGAGAGCAAAGCAGGTGGACCAGATGTGGATCCTGTGGGCCAAGGGGGGCTTCCCGCTGGCCGATGCAGCAGCAAATTCCCCCCCTGGCCCGTAGCGGCCAGCTGGGTCAGGAGCTGGGGTCCTGCTCAGAATCAACTCCAACAGGGTGGGGCTTTCCCCATCAGTGAGAGGATACAGTTCATATTCTAAATGTTGTGTTGCACCACCTTTGTCGAAGATGGAGACTGAATCAAGCGTAAAGCAGACTTTATGCTAAACTGGGGTTTCCCTGGAAATCCGTCAAAGGCAATGAGGGGCGTCCTCTCTCTGTTCCTCCAAGACATCGAACATCGATATAAATGATTGCAGTTGCCCAGAACATAGCCAACTCCACCATCTCTATTCACCACGTATACCCTGCCCTACCAAGCGGCTTCTGGCTGGTTAAGCAGGTGTGGGCCACGTGTACACGTGCCCTCCGAAGCACCGTTTCAAGTTCTGGGAGCCCAGCGCGCCTTGAGTGGAGCCTTCCAAATTGTGCTCCTGCTAACGTGGGGTTGGTTTCTCGGTATCTGCTAAGTCCCCTGACGCCCCAGACTGCCTGCCAGGTCACACCACGCACCCCGCCAAGGCACGCTCAGTGCCCCTGACCTGCTCAGCCCTGACTCTGTCAACCCTGTGCTAAGGGACAGGAGGATGCAAAGTGGGGGGTTTAGGGCGACCAGATCAAAGGCCAGCGCCAGCAGCGGCTCTGCGAAGCCCTGTGTGGCCCACAGGGAACTCTGCGAGGGTGGGCAGGGGCGGGCAGGCCCCGCCCAGTGGCCTCAGGCCTTCACGCTCCCCTGGGGCTGCCAGAGGCTCAGCTCCACTTCCCCAGGTTATGTCATGGGACAACTGGCTCCTTGCTTTGAGGGGGGTCGTGTCCTCCTGATAACGCCTCGCTTAAGCACCTAATAAGAGCACATGCCGTGCTGTGCTCATAAAGGTGCTGAGGCCAAGGACGGCCTTGCCCAGGGCTCCGGGCAGGGCGGGGCGGAGCTGGGGTGGGAAGGCCAGAACAGCCCCAGGAGCTGGTCCTCCACCCAGCAGCCCGCTCCTCTGCCCGCAGCCCTGCCTCACCCCTGCTGGCCCCCTCGCCTGCTCCTCCCGCACTGCCCTCCAGGACCAGGCTGTGCCCACCGCTGCCGCTGCTGCTCGGCAGACGGACACTGACCACAGCTGCGCTTTGGAGTATTTTCAAAATAAGGAACCCAGAGCCGCAAAGCAGTGTCCCCAGGGCAGGGGCAGGGCGGGGCGGGGTGGCGCTCAGGGCTACCCCGCTTGCTGCCCTGGGAGTCAATGCTGGGGCACGGGACGCTAGAGGTCTCCAGCGTAGGGGGCACCGTTCTCGCCCAGAGAACCCACGGGAGGGGCGCGGGCGAGGCCGAGACGGGATTCCAGCGGACGGACGCTTTAGCTCCGGTTCCACCCATCAGGAGGGGGCTTGCCGGGTGGTTTTGGCCCCTGGAGCTCAGGTGTGTCCCTTTCCACACAGCCATTTAACGAGAGCAATGAGCACGTGCCTGGTCGAGCAGCAGCTGCCACCGCTGCCCGTCAAACGGTGCCAGTACTGAAGCGAAAGGCGCGGGCCACACCCGACCGCTGAGCGCAAGAGGCCGCGTGGAGGAAGGACACTGGCCCTGGCCTGCAGGACGGGCACCTGGTGGGCCCAGGGCGGCGGCAGCGGGTACTGCCCGGCCAGGGCACCCGCGGAGGGCCTGAATCGCCGGGATGCGGGGGCCACAGACCCGGGACCCCTAGAGCGTCTGCAGAGAAGGCTTGCCCGGTGTTGCTGGCTGGGAAGGTGAGCTGTGGGGGGCGAGGCCTGGGGAGAGGCCTGGCAGATGCAGGGGGCAGACCGCTCCTGCAGCGACAACGGCTGTCTTAGCAGTTCTAACGGAATGCGGCCTGGTGAAGCGAGGCCGGTGAGGAGCCCCTGGAAGCCAAGGGGGGGACTGCTGGTCAGCCGTGTGCCCACTGGCCCTGTCCGTGGGCCATTTTTACTCCATTTTTGGTCCCGGGGAGCCACAGGATCTTCAAAAAACCGAAAGTGACACAAAAGCACGGCACGACTCCCCCGGGGCCCCTACTGGTGAAACCACCCCGATCAGCCAGGTCCCGAAAACGTTACTGAAGAGAGGAAATAGTGAAAAGTGTCCACGTAACATCACAGTTGAGCAAAAGGTGTAATATGTCACACTCCCTTCTTTGGCAAGAAAAGCTGCCAAAAAAAAAAAAAAAATGACAATGAACTTATCTTGGTCTGTGAGAGTGAGGAGGACTTTCTTCCTACAGATAACGCAATTCACCTCAGGCTAACTCAATCCATTCAGGAAAAGCGGCAGCTCACCCACTTCCTGCACCACAGTCTCCCCATGTCAGAGCGGGGCTCACCTGGCTCCCCCTCGCTGTCACCTGCCCTCCCCTGGGCCACCTAACTCGCCTGACTGCCTGGGGGAAGGAAGCTGTGGCTGTGGAGGGGTCATAGGGCGGGGCTGCCCGGGGCTGGGGTGCCCGGGACACCCACTTTCAGAAGGCCAGCCTCCGGCAGCTCAGGGCCAAGTATGGTCAGCAACTGAGAAAAAAGACAAGACCCCAGGACAGTGAGACCAGCTGACGGTCTTTCCCTCACGCCCAGGCTCTTATGGAAATGTCCCAAGACCATGTTACGGTTTTTGTCTTGCCGAGCAAGGACTTGTCTTCGAGGCATTCAGACACTGGAGGAGAGCGCGGGGACCGCCCGAGGCAGCCGGGAGCCCCCTGCTGCCCACCAGCACACAGAGGGCGCAGCTCTCAAAGGGGAAACTGGGCACAAGGGGCACTTTTTTGTAAACTTTTTTTTTTAAGACTTATTGATTTGGATTTTTTTCTTTGTTTGAAAACATTTACTTTTTTATGCATACAAGAACTGGGGTATAGGCAAGAAGTGTGTATGTGGGGGGGGGTGAGCGGATTCCCCAGAGACAGGATGGGGAGCAGAACAGGCAGATGGACTGAAATCCACTGCTGAGGGGCGCAGCGGGGAGAGACAGCCCTGAAATACATTTCCATGATGCCAACCTACTGTTACACGGAGGCAGCCACGTGAGGCCCCATCCTCCGACTGTTACATGGAGGCAGCCACGTGAGGCTCCATCCTCTGACTTTACATGGGAGGCAGCCACCTGAGGCCCCATCCTCTGACTGTTACAAGGAGGCAGCCACGTG